GTGGGATTGCTGGGTCATAGGGGAGCTCTATGTGGAGTCTTTTGAGGTACCTCCATACTACTTTTCCAAAGTGGTTGAACAAGTTTACACTCCCACCAACAATGCAGTAAGGTTCCCTTCTATTGTAGTGCATAATTTTAAAGAGAAGAATTTGCTTTATTTTTTCCACTGCTCTACCAACAGCAATATCCAATGTAGACAGTAGGGAGATCAAAAGGAAATCAGGACCACATTAAAAGGCTGAGCTTGGTAGTTCACTCTTGTTCCAACAGCTTGGGAGGCAGGTAGTAGGCCAGAGGTAGAGGCCAGTCCATTCAAAGTTAGTGAAAGAGACAAACTGAAAAACAAAGTGAAAGTAAAAAAAGACTGGGGTTGTAGCTCAGATGCTAATAAGGTGTTTATGTAGAAAACTCAAGGCCCTGAGTTCAATCCCTAGTACCAAAAACAAAAATACAAAAAACCCCACAAAACTACTGACAGTTAGCATTATGTTAAATAACAATAGATGCATATCAATTAAGGTGGCATCAACAATGCTGGCAAAGATTTGACAGGAACTGACACTTGTTGATGGAGGGAACACAAAATGGTACAGCCACTCAGGGATGTACTTCCCATTTAACAACGCTGATCCTACTCTGATTTATGTTGTGTTTGTGTTGTCATTTTATTTAGTCCCTTTTAGTTTAAATCCAAAAGATTCCCATCTTGGAGATTGGAATAAGATTAAGTAAGACTATGCATGTAACAAACAAAAATATTACAGTTTAAAATCTTTATCTTGTATCTTAAATCATAGTGAGCTGTAGCTTTTATTTGCTTGGAAAAAAAAATCCACGATGAGAACAAAACTTTCTGAAGCACATCATTTTAATGAATGTATTCAGCTGATTAACTGTAGAGAACACTAGGTTAATAAGGTCATAGCTCAGGGCTTAAACTCCAAATAGGCCTGGTAGCTTTTCAAAGTAACATTTCTGACACCACCACATGTTGATTAAAATAAAACCTGAACTCTGTGAGAAAGGGGGGAGGGGAGAAAATAGCCTAAATTAATAATACTGATAAAAGGAAGGTTTGTTTGCCATTTTTAAGGTGCTTTTTGTTTGAAAAGGCATATTTTCAGCATTCTTAGTCTTAAAAAAAAATCAAAGTAGTGCTAATCCCACAATTTTAGGTACATTTCCAATACCTTGCTTTCTATATCTAGAAAACCATGGCATCCCAAGCCAAATATCTGAAAATTTATGGTAAGAAATTAGTCACAATTGGCACCTAAATCTAATTATGTTGTGGACACATGAAGTACAGGAGACTTAGTGAGCAACACTGGCATTTTTCATTTTGTACACCACCTATTCACATTATTGATAAGAGAACGAGGCCCAAGGAGACCTGCAGTTTGGGCCATAAACCCGCCCTTCTCACTCTCCACAGCCGTGTCGTACAACAGGGCGCAGGGACAAAAACAGGTCGGTCCAGATGCTAAGCCCAGGGACTTGGAAATCTCCATCCTGGGCTTTACAGGACTCCAGAGAAGTGAGGACCTCGTTCTTCAGTGGTGGGGGGGCCAGGCAGAGGCTTTGAAATCTATCATACAGATCCTCCCAGGGCATATCTTGGGACTCAGTTCCAACCCAAAGGCCTTGCTGGAGGTCGTAATGCAGACGTCGCCCCCAGGCAATGAGCAGGCTCATGTAGACGCGTGCAAACGCTGGGTGACAACTTGCCACCGAAGTCAAGAGCCCGGCTGGGAGGGTTCGGCAAAAGGCAGTCCGGACATCGGGCTCGCTCAGGAGCCAACGGATGAGCTCCTGACTCGCCTCGGTGGGTGTCCTGGGGTCGTCGTCCCCTTCCAGCTGCGACGGGGGCCCGGAGGACGCGGGAGGGGGCACCAGCGCCACCGCCAGCACCTGCAGGAAGTGGGTGTGCGGCCCGCACTCCCACAGGCTGCCGAGAAGCCCGGCGGCGCCCCCGGCCTCTCCCGCCTGCTGCACGCGCTCCAGCAGCAGCTCGGCCTGGGTCTTTACCAGTGGGTCCTGCCGGATGTCGGGGGTCGCTCGGCTGCCGTGGCCGCGCAGCAGGTGGATCGCGCACCCGCGGCGGGCAAGACCCAGCAGGCTGTCGGGGAGGGTGGCCTGCTCGGCATCCCGGACTCCGGGCCCGGGAAAGAGCTGCCGCAGCAGGGCGTGATACGCAGCCTCCCCCAGAGCCCGGTTCCGCAACAGGCGGAGAGCCAGCAGGGCGTCACAGTGCCCGAGGGCCCGGAAGCTCAGCCACCCCGGGCATGGGCCCCGCTCGCCGCGGGGTCTCCAGTGGCTCCGCAAGCGCCGCTCCACGGCCGTGCGGATGCGACCGTGGCCGCTAAAGCGTCCGTGCACATGGCGCAGGTAGCGAGCCCACTGTAAGGCCCGGCGAACGGTGGTGGGGTCCCAGGTGCTGACGTGGGTCGTGCCAGACACCGCCACGACTTCAGAAAAGCGGTCCAGGTACTGCAGAAGCTGTTCCATCTGCGCGCCGCCAGACCTGACTTCCGCTTTCACCTTGGAGACTGTGACTCCCGGCGTGCTGATTGGACAGTGTGGACTACTGAGACTCGCCTTTCTTTAAAGCGATTGGACGAGACGCATGTCAATCTCAGAGTGACTTTATCCGGGTCTTTTGAATCTGGGGAATTTTAATAATCTTTCTGATTTTCATTTCGCTGTGCATTCAGGAAGTTCTCGGTGGAGAAAGCATTAATGTAGGAGGGTCTTAGAAGAATCCGAGGAGACACAAGAGATATCCTGCCAGTCAGGAGTGTCTTTATGCTTTCCCCTTTTTCTGTGGAAATAGCCTTAGGTAGAAAACGTTTGAATTTTGATAAAAGTTATATCTTTTCCGAGCTTTATTATAATTGACTAACACCGAAGATATACTATTGCAGGTGAAGAAATGTTGTTATGCGAATTTAAGATAAGTTAATTTGAAAATAAAAACTATTGGTCTAATGTAAGACAGTTTATGAACAACTTTTAAAAAACCAACTTCAACCTGCATTTCAACAATTTTCCTGAAAAATTAGGGGTTCTCATAATTTCTTACTTGACACCATTTGTCACAGATGAAATGCCATTTAAGAGCACATAACAAAAATATGTTTGGTGAAAGATTTTTTGAAGAGAGAGATGGAACTATTCTTGAATGTCATCAGCCTTTATTTTCTACTAGGGATTTTTAAATTTTTACAATAAAGTTTCCAACATAAAAGGACTTCATTGAGGTAAGAGAGGCAAGCACAGGGTATCATATAAATCAGGTTTTGTGTATATTTTTTTTAAATGTAAGATTAATACTTTCAGGGATTAGCTATATGCTCACAGAATTCTAGAAAGGCTTTCTTAGTGACTGATATTTGCCTTAGGATCTAGAATGTCTGAACAATGAAAAAAGAAAAAAAAAGCAAAAGAAAATTCAAATGAGAGAAATAATGTAAGGAAAATCATGAAGGTATGAATGTGTGTATTCTGTGCCTTGACTGCCAGGAACAGCCTACCACCTCTTTAGTTATGATTTGTAAATTCCTGGAATGTTGTACATTAGAACACAAACTACAAGGGCCACTATTAGGAAACTTTCATTAAAATAGGATATCATTCAAAATATGGTTGTTAGACAACATAAAAAAAAAAAACTAAGGAAAGAAAGGCTTTCGCGAAGAACTTAAGTTACAGGGCCCTGAGGATTACTACAATATTTACATGAATCTTGTGCCTGTCTTTTAATATTTACTGGACTACCATCAATGCATGATGTCCATGAAGTTTGCAATACTGGCCCCACTGCAGCTAAGTAGATAAGGCCTGACAACTCATGAGGTAATGTTGATCTGATGTTTTGTTTTGTTTTTAAATTTAGTAAGTAATTTAGCAAACTAGACTTAAGTCTATTGATATATAGTATGAATCATATAGTGGTGGAAATTTGTTCAGAAATGGCCAATTAATTAAACCTAGAGAATATTAGACAAAAAAATCTTTCTTCTTCCAAAGTAAATAGATGAACACTGACAAATTGAAACAGCCATAAAGGATTGTGGATATATGCTGCCAACTCCTTCCCAGAACTAAGGCAATCTCAAGCCATGAAGAAAAATTGTTTTAACACAGTCCTCAGTCTAAACATGTATGTTATCTTATGTATATCCAGCTCTCATGGTTTTCTTTTTAGAGAGTTTTAGTTGTATTGTTTATTACTTTCAATTAAATACGCCCAGCTAAATACACCCACAGCCTTTTAAACAATGTGTGGTATGTACAAATACTCAATGAATATTTGCTAATAGTATTGTTAATACATATGCTTCCAAATATAAATATAATTTCATTTCTACTTCCAATTCTGCTCCTTCCAACTATAAATGAGAAACTACTGATGTCATTACAGATGGAAATGGAGAAAAATTTTATCAGAGGAAGATCTGACTGTGACAAGTCACAGTCTTGGTCCTGGGAAGTTTACAATAAAAATCTGTTGATCCTTGGAACATTACAAATTGAAAAGGTGAGTTGTTCTCATTATTTAGGTTGAATTTGGAGGATTATTTTTACAATAATTGGCAAAATCATAGCATAGGCAAAATCAGAGGACACTCTCCAACTGAGATAGCAATGAAAACAAATTGTTCTGATGTCCATTTCTTTTACTCTAAACATCAGGATACATTCATCCCCTCATCCAGTTTTGTTATCCATAATTTCAGCTACCAGAGATAAAACACAATCTGAAAGTATGAACTAGAAAATTCTAGAAATAAACAATTCATAACTTTTAAGCTGAATTCCATTCTTAGTGTTATTAAACCTCATGCCATCTCATTTTTGTTCTGCTTGAGAAATCAATTAATGCCAGTGTCTTTACCAAGTATATGCTACTTCCACCTTTACCTTTAATTGTGTTGTAGTCTTATTGGTTATCAGATTGAGTGTCCAGATATGTAATGGAATGCTTGTGTTCAAGTAACCTTTAGTTTCCTTAATAATGTCCCCAGAGCTCAGAAGTAATGAGACAAAGATGCCATCAGAGAATACATTAATTCTGTCACTATGTGGCTGCAGCACAAATAAGCAAAACAAATCATATCTAGTATTACATAGAACCCAGGATTTCAGGCAACTCCTGGGAATATTGGGACTCCTGTCCTCAAGAAATCCTGGGCATTTGTTTGGGCAAATGATGTTTTTATGTTTTAACAAGAAATCTGGGCCATCATCGAAAAATATTCAATTGGTTTGAGGACAAATAGGGGCAGTTATTACACTTGAATCTAGCTCTATTACTCCATGCAAGTCAGGGATAAAGGTAGGATTCTTATGATCTTAGGCATCAATAATAAAGGTTTTGTATTTCTGGTAGAAATTTTGTGAAGATTATATTTGTCATTTTGGAAGGATAATGAAAACACTCTGAAAAATTAGAATGAATGTTATTAGTAATACTTCAGTAAAATTGCAGCTTATTCATTTGTTTCTTTTCTCTTGCAAAAGTAGTATATGTGTGTAGTGGGGGGAAATCCAATGAATTATAACAGTGAATTTGAATTATGTGAGCATTTGACAACTGGATTTGCAATTTTGCATCTATTAAAGTTACAAGTGGCCCTGATCAACCTGTAGAACTCCAGACCATGTATAAAAAGATTAAATTCACCTGCCTAATAGGTATAAATAACTATCTTTCCTACCTTTGGGATTACTATCAGAAGACTTGAAGTAAACAAGTATTTCTCTGTCTCTCGACTATCTAACTCTAGTGAGAAGAATTTTAAGTTCATTCCAGATATTGACCTCCTTTGACTGGGGCAAAGGAATGCAAGTTAACATCATTGCTGAGATGGAGAAAAGTATAGTAATGTGTTCTGTGGTTCTTTCTTGGATATATACCACCTAGATAGCCATCCAGTGTCTACAGTATGTACACACTGCAATCTAGCATAAGAAGCCCATGACGTTGGTGGGATGGTTCCAGATGTTGCACAGGAATAGCAAAGAGCCCTATAAACTCAGAGGAAGGGGATAGAGGATGGACCAAAGGAGAAGGTTCCTTTGTGTGCACAGGTCTAGATGATCGCTCCAATTCTCTCCTCATAAATTTGAGATATTCCTTTGGACTGCCAGAAGGAGTAGCTTTAAATGGCCTTAGATAGCTGTAGAACATTGCTCATTAAATAGTGTATCTGTGTTCTGAACAAAAGAGCTCCATCAAAATCTGTATGATAATTTTGTTTGTATTGGAAATTCATTTGTTTCATTATAGTAACATGTAAGACTATATTGTCTTTGTAGGGGTAGGAAGAATTTCTGTTTAATTGTAACTTTTGAATATTTTTTTTTTATCCAAAAAGGTATTCCTAATTTTACCAATCGGCATTTCTAGTCAATACTCACTGTTAGAAATGTGAAGTGAACATGTTTAAAAGTCTTGATAAACAAAGAACATCATATGCTTATATGGACATATCATGATGAAATTCTATGTGCAATTTAATATACACCAATAAAAATTTCTGTGTTGCTTTTGTTTGTTTTTTGCTGATCCTGGAGTTTGAACTTTGAGCCTGGGCACTACCCCTGAGCTTCTCTTATTCAAGGCTAGAGCTCTGACACTTGAGCCACATCACTGCTGGCTCTTTCTGGGATTAATTTGAGACAAAAGTCTCACAGACTATCCTGCAGGCTGGCTTCAAAGTGCAATACTCAGCTCTCAACATCCTAAATAGCTAGGATTGATTACAAGCATAAGCCACAGGTGCCCAAACCCATAAAAATCTCTTAATCAGCAATTTGGACTCATCATTCAAAATAAGAATATTATTAATAAAATTACACTTGTAAAGTCAAATTAATGTTTATCTTCAAAACACACTTTGAATTTGCCTTTCTAAGAAATGACGCTATTTGACTTCTCCCTTGAATCTATCATATTTCAGTTAATATATTTGTATACACTTGCATACCACCCAACATATTTACTTTTAAATTTATAAGCTAAAATGAGCTTCCACATATAAGGGAAAACATGTATCGTTTGTGTCTCTGGGCTTGACTTACTTCACTTACCATAATTTTTTCCGGTTCTTTCCATTTTTTTTTTTACAAATAATACAATATTATTCTTTCTAATGGATGAGAAGCAGGTACTTGAAAGGGATGAGGAAGGCTCAAAGGGAAAAGGATAAATGGGTGAAGAAGAAAAGAGGGGAAGAATGCAGTCAAGAACCCACATATAGCTTGCAAAATGAGGAACAGTGAGGATTGGGGCGAGAAGGGGAGGGGTGGCTGAGAATGTTGAGAAGGATGACAGTTGATCAAGATGCATTGTTTTCATAAACTTTTGTTAAGTGGTAACTCCTTGTACAACTATGTAAAGACAATAAAAATGAAGTTTGAAATGTTGGAAATTTTCATATAAATTTAATATTTAAAATTGTCTCTATACAGGCTTATGCCTGTAATCCTAGCTACTCAGGAGG